CGAGGCGCTGATGCAGGCGAGTCGACGTCAGGAGGCGCGCCAGTTCCTACACTCCCGCCAGCAGGAGGAGTGCGCATGAAGTAGCACCTTGGCTGATCCTGGGAAAAATTTGCAGCGGAAAGATTTTCTGGATCTGCACAGGCATTGTTAGTGGTAGGAAAATCACACAGGGATTGATCAGCTAGCTGTTCCATAGTAGAAAGACCTGAGCTATTCTGCATGTGTTCAGGAAGAAGGGAAATTTCCGCCCGGAGGTGAGCCTCAGCATTAGGATGAAGAGACATGAAAGGAAAAACACTCTCATCAAAGATAACATCCCTGAAATGTAAACCCGACCTGAAGCAACATCGAGACACTTGAAACCTTTGTGCATTGTGCTATAACTAAGAAACACGCATTGTTTGGATCTAAACTGAAGTTTGCGAGAGTTGTAGGTTCGGAGATGGGGCCAACAGGCGCACCCAAAGGTGCGGAGAGAGGCGTAGTCAGGGTTTTGTTGAAACAACTTTGTGAGAGGTGGGATTCCATCATTGACAGGAGTAGGCACTCGATTGATGAGATAAGCGGCAGTGAGAAATGCCACATCCCAGAATTTCAATGGCATGCCAGCATGGGCAAGGAGACAAGTCAACTTCAACAATGTGGCGATGTTTTCGTTCAGCGGCACCGTTTTGTTGGTGGGTGTGTAGACATGAGACGTAGTGAGATATCCCAATGCGCTGAAAAAAAGAATTTAGGCATTGGTACTCACCACCCCAATCTGTTTGGAGTGCAAGAATTTTTCTATCAAAACGGCGCTCAATAAGATGTTGACAATCATGAAAACATTGAAAAACTTCGGATTTTCGCTTAAGAAGATAAATCCATGTGAATTTACTGAAATCATCCACAAAACTAACATAATAGGAACGACTGCCAACTGAAGTTGGGGCTGGACCCCATACATCTGAAAAAATAAGCTCCAAAGGAGCTTTAGACCGACTTAATGACTTAGGGTAGGGAAGTTAATGACTCTTCCCTTGTTGACAAGCATCACATATGGTGTCTTTATTGGAATCACTAACAAAAGGTAAATTATTCTGACTAAGGACTTGATGCATAATAGCAGAGGAGGGATGGCCCAGTCGACTGTGCCACCGGGAAGAAGAAATCTTGTGGACACCAAAGGCATGCTTGACAACTGGATCGGTAGATGGCTTCAAAGGGTAGAGGCGCCCTTTACATCTGCCGCGATGTAGAAGCCTCCTCGTGTCCCGATCCTTTATAGAAAAATGATTTGGATGAAGTTCAACAAAGGCATCATTATCAAAAGCTAAACGGGATGCAGAGACTAAACTTTTTGTGGCTTCAGGAACGTAAAGAACATTTTTAAGAACAAGATTACCACTAGAGATTGGAACAGTAGCATGATCAATATGTGAGATCTCCATACCTGTTCCGTTCGCGGCGTGGACTTGTTCATTGCCGGTGTATTTGTCCCGTACCGTCAGCTTGTCAAGTTCGCCAGTAATGTGGTCGGTGGCGCCGGTATCGACGTACCAGTTGGTATCAATACCATATGAAGTTGTGGCCGTGTTCGCAGCCTTCTCCTCGCCAGTGAAGGAGGTGTCGAAACGCTTGTAGCATTTGATCACCGTGTGACCAAGTTTTCCACAGAGCTGGCACTTGGGCCACTCCTGATTGTTGGCGCCGCCGCGACCGCCTTGGGGAGCGTCGCGGCCGCCGCCGCCACCGGGATTGCCACCACCGCGACCACGTCCGCGCTGGCCACCTCCTCCGCCACGTCCACGCATGGCAGCGTTCGCTTGAGCCATGCCTTGACGAAGTTCCAAACGCTGCTCAAAGCTGATCAGTTGTGTGATCAGCTCTGAGATCGTTATCGGTTCCACGCAGGCTGCAACCGCTGAAACCACTGGATAATAATCGAAGTCAAGCCCGGCGAGGATGTAAGACACAAGGTCCTCATCGTCGAGCTTTTTTCCGGCCGCGGTCATCTCGTCTGCCAGGCCGTGCATCTTGTTGACGTAGTTGATCACAGAAAGGTTATCCTTCTATGTTGTGGCGAGAGCCATCCTTGTGTTGATAGCCCGAGCTCTGGACTGGGACGTGAACATCCCTTCGATGGTCGTCCAGACACCGGCAGCAGTGTTCATATGAACAACCTGAGAAAGAATTTCACGTGAGAGTGAAAGCAAAAGATAGCTTAGCACCTGCTGTTCCTGAGCAACCCATTCGGTGTAGTCAGGATTGGGAACAACAATGTCCTTCTCATCCTTTTTCACGATCTTGGTTGGAGCCGGCATCTCCTTGGTGCCGTCAAAGAACCCAGCCATCTGGGCCCCTCGCAGAGTTGCAAGGACCTGAGCTCGCCACAGGGAGAAGTTGCCGCGAGCCAGCTTCTCTGTCACCGGCTGCGAGAGCGCCGGGGAAGGAGCGATAGTGGAAGAAGATGACGCCATGAGGAAAAGAGGAAGAAGGCTCTGATACCATGTAAAGATGGGTTTAACGTGGATTGCCTCTCTCGGTTCCACGGTCCATGTTATATAGCCAGAAACAGCCCCTGGTGTGGCGTGTACATAGGAGTTTACAGATTACATCTTCACCGAGAAGAAAGGAAACAGAAAAACAAGAAACAAACTAAACTCTATCTTATCTTATCAACAGATATGTTCCTATCCGAACTATCTATCTGTTTAACAATGTCCGCCTGCGAAAAAAAGACCCCACGTCGGGAAAATGCTTTTTCTAGTAGTGCTGGTCGCCCGAACCTACTGTTGTTGCTTCGGGCAGCGCCTGCGACGTGCAGGAGCCACCATTGCTTGCTCCGGGCGCTGCCTCTACCACAGGTGCCACCGCCGTATCCTGGTCTATGCCGCAACCGTCGTCGCCTTCGACCACGACACATTCTGCGCCGTAGCCTCGACTCAATACCAGAGCCTACCTGCTGTTTGGGTATGTCGTACCGAAGCGGGCGATTGATTTTAGGAGGTTGGGTTTGGGTCAGTTGGGCCTTGTTCTTAGGTTGGGCCAAAGGTCATTTTAGTCATTTATGTAAAAAACTGACAGTTGACCAATGTCCATTGTTAGTCAATGCACGGTTTAGTGATGGTAGTGACATGGAAGGGTAGGGAAATTTTAAGTCAATGGCATACAAGGGAAGAGCCAATTTTGAATGGCGTATCAGGAATCCGGTAAATTTCTAGTGACATATAGGAATTCTCTTGATTGAATCTCAAATGTAAAACTCACATTGATGTTCCAATACAAGTACACCTTTGTATGTATGGACTCTAAATTTATAATATTTTCTTATCTGAAAAAAAATTAAGAATCCACGATAACGCTCCATTCAAAACGTTTTTCTTCAGCATCTAATCCACTATTATATTTTATCTTAAATTTGCATGTGTCTTGTCTAAACTTCTTCAAACAGATTGGTTCAACCTTATAGCATACACAACTCCTCTGTAAAACTACCCCTGCAATAGTAGCGACTAACGTGGATCTTTGTTGGTTGCCCGGCAAAAGGAGCCCGAGGGCTTAGAACCCGTTCCAAATGAATCTACCAGTGCCATGAGGTGTAGGAAGCGCATGAGGGCTACGAAGTGCTTCACAGAGTGGATAGAGCATGAGCCAAGGGAGAAATGTTCATTGATGTACGATGCGGATGGTTCACGGTAATAATGAGTGTTGCGGGACTGGGAGTCATCTTCTCAGATATCATGCATCCTAAAGGCCGATGACATCAAACCACAGAGGTTTTATTCGTGTTGATATGCACGGCATATCACACATCGGTTATTGTATTAGTTGGTTAATTTTCATGGTGATCTTTCATAATGGTGTAGAAGTCTCACTTGTCATATATTCAATAAATCAATACATAACAATTTTCTCATGGTATATTTAGTTTTAGAGATATTTGACAGGTTGGCTCGTCGGGTGATAATTTACCTTAAGTAGTTGCTGAAGAATCGTACTTACTGAAGAATCTCCGTAGCCTCCTCCAAGTCAATCAGGAACTGAGGAGGCAAGTAATCAATCCAATGGGAGTCCCAGGCGCATTGGAGATCCAGAGACCAAAGCAAGCACATCTGATTCTTAGCATCTTATCTAGCTGTTTCATTGCAAAATGTACTGGAATAAATGCATGAAGATTGTACGACCATTGCAACATTCAAAACTAAAATCCATTTAAGCTCTTAATTATAAGAGAGAGTTGTTTAAGAAAAAACTATTATATTACAATCATCTATACAAGTGTTTTTTTTCAGAGAAACGGATTTTATTTTTCTACTTCCCTTATAGACACAATTATTTTTAGAGATAGTAGCTAACTACTTACTTTGCAGGACTACCGAGAGAAGTCTACCCCCACTAGCTAACATAGATATTTATTCTTGGCGTGCATATTCGAGATTTAGAATCTCTTTCCAATTAGGCTAGGCTGAATCGGGCCACCCGCCCTTGGGTGTTGCCTTATTATCAGCATGGTGTTGATGTAGCTCTTAAGATAGATATGCCTCTGTAGGCACTAGTTGCTTAGGGTGCACCACCTCATTATTTGAATGTTTATATGTAGAAGCATATGTCCTTAAAAAAAATGAACAGTTCTATTTCTACGAAATATTATCTGCAATGTATAAAAATATAAAAGGCTAAAAACTTGAACTTTTTTATTTACGGTGAACCAAATATGAGGATTTTATTTTTTAAGACCTGCATTGCGATTCTTTATCGCCAACATCATGTGCTATTATTTATGAATACTAAAATTATAATCATATGCTAAATATATTGATTTTTTAATTTTAAGTTTTGAAACTAAAGTAATAAAATAGCAACAACACATTGATATAATTCTACCAAAATTTAGTAACGTTATCAACCTGTACATTGCCAAATTTCGGAAATGTTGAATTTGGCAGTACATGAACAACCTCAAAGTACCAGGTTGGTACGCCGCGGAACACCGTAGCCTGCCCTTCTAAACGGGATAAGATCCAAAGCGAAACGCTGAATCGTACCCATCCTGATGGCCCAGATCCTGCTGACGTCATCCTCCATCAACCCCGCAAATTCCCCCACCAACGGAACACTAAGGGCTCGTCCTCCGCCTCCGCCGCCGCGGCTGCCTCGGCGTCGGTGGCAGGCGCCGCCGTACGCCACCGCGCTCCTTTCCTCGCCGCCGCCATCAAGCGCTCTCCGCGGGACATCTACAGGACGGCTACTCGCCCGCCGGAGCCCTTGACCTCCTCGCCTCCGGGCGACCCAGACCTGGCGCGGCTCTTCGTCGGGCTCGCACGCTCTATTCGATCCGTGCGGGTGCGACCGGGCGATCTGAAGTCTCGCTGAGCATCAGGTAAGTTTCCCTTGGCTTGATTGGTGGCGTTCACGGTGGGTGTATGCTACGTGTTCGATCAAATGCCTGACAGGGCCTGGTCCGGTTGCTGCTGTGGTGCAGGCCTTTTTCGGTCACATGGAAGACAATGATGACAGGGCGTCAGCTGAGATTACCACTGACCAAGAGAATCATCTCAAGGACGCCTTAATCCAGGTGTTTGCTGCTACTTCTGAACACCAAGAAGGTGAAGGTGAAGCTGCAGAGGTTGTGCAGGATGAAGAGATTGGTGAAGGTGTGGAGGGTGTGCGGGATGAGGAGATTGGAGATATCAATTCGAAGCCCGACAAACCATATGTTGGCATGGAGTTTCGTGACAAGGACGAGGCAAAGAACTATTATGATGACTACGCGAGGAAATGGGGTTTCATAACAAAGATTTCAAGCTGTAGAAGAAGCCAGATCACAAAGCAATACAATCGGTATGAGTTCGCTTGCCACTCCGAGCGGAGCTCGAGGGAATCTGGTGCTAGTGCTGGCAGCAGGTCAAGGAGGTCCAGTAGAGTTCTGAAGACAGGTTGTAAGGCAAGAATGGTGGTTGTGAAGAGGGATGAGAAGTGGGTGGTCACCATAGTAGATCTGGATCACAACCATCCACCTTTGAACCCTTCTGCACTTATGTCCTTAAAGCCTCATCGCCTCATAAAAGATGAAGATCATGATCTCTTAGAGTTTCTGCGCACAAACAAGATACCCACGCAGAGGATCATGTCTGTTCTCTGTGATTTGTATGGAAGCATGCAAAACATCCCTCTTGCAAGGAAAGATGTGAGCAACCTGAGGGCGACCATGAGGCCAGAGGCTGAGGGCACCTGCACTGATATGGCAGCTACAATCAAATACTTCCAAGAATCGCAAGCAGATGACCCATCATTCTTTTACAGTATGGAATTGGACAGCGAAAGCAAAATTACCAGCGTCTTTTGGGTGGATGGAGTATCAAGGGAAGCATATAGAGAATTTGGTGATTGCGTGTTTTTTAACACAAAATACATCACAACAAAGTACTGTCTTCCATTTGCGCCCATTATTGGTATGAACAATCATGGGCAGACTGTGCTTTTCGGGTGTGTGTTGCTGAAGGCTGAAATTGAGGAGACATTTGAATGGGTGTTTCAGACTTTTCTTAAGGCCATGGATGGGAAAGTGCCAAAGAGTATCATGACCGATCAAGATGAAGCAATGGAGAACGCAATCGCAAATGTTTTGCCAAACACATCTCATAGGCGTTGCTCATGGTACATATGGAGAAATGCTAAGTTCAAGCTTGGTGTGCTGCCGTCTCGGTTGGAAGGGTTTGAAGATGACCTAAGACATTGCATTGACGAGTCATTTAATGTTGAAGAGTTTGAAAGAAGATGGGCTGCTGTGCTTGACCGATACAATTTGGCAAGCAACAAGTATATGCAGGACCTCTACGAAATCAGAGAAAAATGGGTTCCATGCTATTTCATGGACTGCTTCTTCCCATTTATGAGCATTACCCAACAGAGTGAGGTGATGGAAGCATTGTTCAAGGATTTTGTCCACCCTGGGGACATCATCCAGAACTTCATCGTGCAATATGAGAAGCTCGTTCAATCTTGTCTGGACAGGGATGATAAACAGCTCTTTCTTACTGTCAAAACAGATGCAAATTTGTGGTCCAAATTTCCAATGGAGGAGCAAGCATCAAAATTCTACACTCGTGCAATATTTGAGAGGTTTCAGGAGCACCTCAAGAACACTACTATGTACAATGTAGTATGCGAGGCAACCCCTTATTCCTATTTGGTCCAAAATGTGTTTGGTGACCAAAGCCAGAACAGAAGATATGTTGTTCATTGCAAATTGGAGGATGAGACCTTCACATGTGTTTGCAAGCAGTATGAGAGGGAAGGATTACTCTGTGAGCATATCCTAAAGGTGATGACACATAGGAATGTCAATCTGATACCAGATAAATACTTGTTCCGTAGGTGGACTCTGAAGGGATCAGACAGTGCTGCTACACGAAGTCATGTACCTTTGAACATGGCTGAAGCGTCCACTAGGAAAATGAGGTATTCAACAATTTGCAAGAAATCAGTGTGCATGGCAAGTGAGGCATGTAGAACACAGGAAGGATACAATCTAGCCCTCCGTTCAATTGAAGAACTGACTGACAAGCTTGCCGCTATTAACTTGACCCGACAAGATCAACACCTTCCTCGGCCCAACATTTGTGATAAGAATGGGAAAGGGATCACCATGGGTGAGAGTAATACGATAGCTGAGAAGGTGCTTTCAGAAAGCTGTCTAAAAGATCCAACAAAAATCAGGCCTGCTGCGTTTGACAATAATAGTGAGTCAGCAAGAAAGAGAAACAAAGTGATGAAAGCGGTGCAAGATCTCAGGAGTCCATTTCAGGTAACAAAACTGACGGATTGAAGTACAGGGTATCAGTCCATCCTTGATGTCTGATTATGTAAATGCAATAGTGTCCTTGTGCCCCCTTCTCTTAACTCGCTGACCTGTAAGGAAAGAAGGATTTGCTGCACATGGGAGAACGGTGCTAGCCTTGTTGACTTCTTCTTTTTTTCTTTTTTTTTTTTTAGCAAATGCCCTGCTGGAGTTAATGTGCTATAACGTCATTTTGGCACTTTGGTAGTGATTGCGCTCTTCCGTATCTGAAATTCTTTTCTTCCAGTAGCATAGCATGTCTGCAATGCAATGTTGAGGTCTAGGAACTGGTAGACTATGGTTAAAGTTTAACTGAAACATTTGGAGACTCTAAAGTACCCTTACGAAATCTGAATTTGCTGCTGTAGATATTGCTAATTTTTTTTATAAAATTGGTCAAACTTCAATGGAACTCTCACTCAGCAGCTCATATGTACTTGTGTGTAACTCTGTGCTACAACTGTTATATATAACTTGGATGAAAAATTGTTACAACTTGAATGCAAGTATCTCGACGAATATGGTTCTTTTTTTCAAAAAAAACGTGAAATTGAAATTTCCTATACATCCGTTTGGATATTGCTTGAATTTTAGAGGCTTGCCTGCTATCCTTTGGATGTTGGAACACTACAGTACGGTATCCCGTTTAGAGTCAATTATATGTGTTTATGGAATACGGGTCTTGTACCTGTATTAGGGGACTCTGGTGGTTCTGCAAGCATGTCGAGCAGAACTGGAGATCTATTCAGGACAATAGTAGGTTCAAGTTAGAAGATTGCATATCACCAATAGAATTCCAGTCAGCTTTAGGCAGATTAGTAGTGCTAGAATCTGGCAACTGACCTGGATTCATGGAGTAAACGAGAGGAGCGGGAAGAGTGCACTAGGCCTGGATGGAGCTCATCACCCGGATTCTTGCAAAAAGCAGGAGAGACAGACGAATGTACGTGATTCGGTCATACGAAGTATTTGTTAATTGGTGTGTTACGGTATATGTACACGAAGCTTATGTGGAAACAGCTTTTGTTAATCATCATAGTACGAAACAACCATCCCAAGCTAAGAAAAGGAACATGCAACTATATATTATTAACCAGAAGAACAGAAGCAGGTTAATCCGGTCTTGAGAAATTTATTATCCTAACAAGGCACGGAGAAATCCCATAATTACACTGCTCCACGTCCCAGTCGTTTCCCGGGTCTAGCATTCGGGGTATTGACTACACGCTGAATTTAGTGAGCAGGTCATCCCGTCAAGAGAGCCTTGCGGATGACAAATAGCAAAAGAACATAGATTATTTCATCCATAATGGTGCCCCAGCAGACATCATAGCTGATTCAGTGATAGAGCTTGCCCAGATCATCTTTGAATTTGGTCTTTATCTGCTCCCTCTTCAGTTTAAGTGCAGCTGTCACCAGCCCAGACTCTGGAGTCCATGGTTCAGGCAGCAACACAATCTTTGCTGGTATTTCAAACTTCTCAAGCCTCGCTGCTTTTGCAGCCTGCACCGTTAAAACACATTGCGTTAGATATCATGGAGAATGATGGTATGTAATTAACATGAGTATAAAAATCATACTAGTATTATCATTTGCAGGTTAAGATCGCCTTAGATTACAAGTACATTAATCAGCAATCTGAATGACATCAAAGACGATGGATTGCTTATAGGAATCATCTGTCATCTCCATCGCGATGCTTTTTTAAGTACTTTGTCATGCAAACATAAACTGTATTGCACTCATGTGATAGCAAAATCCTCTGAAATCCACAGTAGGTCGGTCTCCTTACATTAGTCACAGGTCATCTAATCGCCAGGTTAGTAAAGACATACCCATTTCGTGTCATAAATCTGTGATGAGCTTTGGCTATAATCAGGATAACACAGCAGAAAGATCAATGTGCTACTAGTTGTTTTCAGTTATGAAGATACTACAGGCTCCAAATAATTTGAAGAATACAATATGTTCTTCAGCATAATTATATCCTAGTAGTTCTATAAACAAGTCTACTGCATCCATCTTATCTGTTGTTGTACTCACTGATGAGCTTGTAAAATCCATCAGCTTTTGCACTTCACCTATGTTCTTTCATAATTTATATCTTTCAAATGTAATCCAGAAAATGGCATTGTCTAATCCATGAAATGAACCCATTTCAAATTAAAGATGATAAAAGAATTTTTAAGTGCTCCTTTGGATATTGGGAAATATTCCTGCTTCTTCTGGGAAATGAACTACTACAATAAAATTCCTGCATTTTAAAGGAGCCTTGAAATTTTAAATTACTTTAAAAATAGAAATGAAAACAGTGGGGATTTATTGAATTTCTATGACATATAAAACGGACGATTGATTAGAGTTCTAGTGCAAGAGTTACTGATAATTTGAATTTCATTTTGATTTCTGAAATAAAGATGGACACTCAGTTTCAATAGATGCTCAGATAATGAAAACAAAAGAACGTTAAATTCTAGCAATAGACAGCTGATAGATCAAGCAGACAACTCTCCAGGAGAAATGCAAGATCATACTGATGTAATGGTACATAGAAGTGATCAACTCAAGTCTAACCTTTGATAGAGATTGCTGGACCTCCTTAATGGCTTGATCATTGTGGCACAGCTCATCAAAGTTTTTGTAGTTAATCCCAGAATTTTGAGCCCACTGCTCTAAGGCCTGGTGCGCCGGCACTACCAACGCCACACAATAATTATGAAATGGATCAGCATAAACCATTATGCTGTCCACATAATTGCTAGTAGTTAGAGCTGATTCAACCTGTAAAGGCCAGAGAGAACGAGAGAGAGAGGGGGTTTAATATAATTATAATACAAAAAGAATACCCATAATGGTTGAGGCACTATTGTAACCAAACCTTGCCAAGAGACACATATTCTCCATGCTGAAGTTTTACTATATCCTTTTTTCTATCAATGATCTCGAGGCACCCATCAGGATGGAACTGGCCAATATCTCCAGTGTAAAACCAGCGCATTCCCCTCTCATCTACCTGGAGTAATCAGAAACAAAAATTGAAGTGAAAAATATTGTATTTGACCACCAAGGATGATTGGCAAAGATCCTTTACCTTGTAGACCTCATTTGTTTTTGCTTCATTGTTGAAATAACCTTTTGTTATGCTGTATCCACCAACTACAACCTCTCCTCGGGGCATTGGAGAATCAGAAATTTTATAGCCACCTTCTTCCCATGAAACGAGCTGAATTCATTTGATCAGAAAAAAGAGAATTAGAGATACATATACAACATGATAAGAGAACAGAAATATCTCACAACAGAATGAAATGCTTGCTAATAAACCAACCAAAACTATTGTGGTATTGTAAAATAATTTTACAGACTTTCTGTGTGCCACTTTAAGTTTTAGAATGGGGATGTTGGTCATTCTTAAGGTAACAAATTTATTGTTGTCTATAGGCCATTTTTCCTAACATCAAGATGAACATACAGCAACTCACATAATCTTTATTTGGGTTGAAACAAAATAATTACTATAACTTGAATAAAAGTGAGAGAAGGGGAAGGGGAAGACTTATGTATTGTTTGATAAAGAAAGAGAGTCTAATCATCCAAAATAGTGTAGCTTCTGAACAATAGGATCAAATAGTAAGAGCATCTCTAGCAGAAGCCCTCATTTTAAAGCCCCTAAAAACCAAATGAGGGCTGCCCCCAATTCTCTAGGACCCTACAAATGCCTTCAACTCCAGCAACAGCCCCCATTTCTTAGACCATATTTATTATTCTCTATTATATTAATATAGACTATAGGTTTATGTCTAATTTAACATCTCAATAATTAAAAGATAAATATTTTACAAGATCATATCGATGTAAAAGTTAATTATCAGGTGCATTATGCCCGAACAGCATAAACTATAGAGTATATATTTAACCAAACTACTGAAATATTATCCTATATGATGTGTCAAAGAAAAAAATGAATATATACCACTGTCTCTTTCCCCAATCCTGTATATCTCGACCCAATGGAAAAATAATAATCTTTCCACTAGAATCCTCTATGCCTCAGTAAAAAAAATGCAAAGAAAAATCTACTCCCTGCATTCTGCGTGCAGGGACATTGCAGGGGAAAGCAGACAGGCAGAAGAGGGACAGGCGGGGATGGGCTAGTGGGCAAGCGCTGGCCCTCCGGGTGGCAGCGCCGCCAGCGCGAGCAGGAGGTGGCGCGGGTTGGCAGGCAAAAGAGCTAAAATCAGTGCGGTGATTCGCAGACGTGCGAGCGGATGGCGGACCTTTCTGGGGTGGTCTTGCCGGAGGTGAGGGGTCAACGACGGTAGCCGGAGGAGATACAAATGCATCGCAGGGTGTTGTGGGACAGGGAATGTGAGATGAGCGCGCGAAGGGAAAATAACGTCTGCACCAGAAAAAACGTCGATAGGGGCCATCCTGTTGAGCCCCCAGGACTGGGGGTTTCGAGGGAGGATTCAGGGGCCTCCTCACTTTGGGGTCTATAGTAGGGTCTCTGCTGGACTTGATTTTTTCATGTTAACTCTCATAATTTAGTTAGGGGCTGGGTTTAGGGTCCCTGCTGGAGATGCTCTAAGGAAGACGTATTATCATGGCAGGCCAGCTCATGCAGATAGCAATAGGTGTATAATATTATGTAGTATGTCAAAACTGATAAAAAAACTATATATGTATGAACGGTATATCAGAAGAGAGAATCCATAGGTGTATGGAACTATTTCCACATTGTTATTTACAGTTACTTTTGACTGGTTATTAATAATTAAGTTGTTGTCTGTTGTTATATCCTCATGGAAATCCCCAGGGTGATAAAGCCTTGTGGGAGACATGGGCTGGTAGCCTTGGTCGGAGAGGTGTGGGGCCGTGAGACAGTAATTTCTCTCTAGGCATAGTATAAACAGATTTTTACCATTTTATGTATCTTAACGCTATTATGTTCATTTAATTATAAATTTGCATACATAAATATCACTTATATCTGTTAATTATATGCATATACATCAGATAAGTTGACTGTCCCTAGTAAGTATAAGCAAATAAATCAGATAAGCTGACTCTCCCTAGTAAGGCACAGACCTTGACATAGCAACAAGGAAGGGGTGGACCAACACGGCCCACACTTGTGTCATCCCATTCAGAAAAGGCTGCTCCAGCACAAGTCTCTGTCAATCCATAGCCTTGACCTACTGGTACACTGCAGCACAGGTAATTCAAAACTGCATAAGAACCAAAAACAAATGCAGCGACATACAATAAAAGGAAGCTCATCACATTATAGCATAGTGCATGTACTCTAGAAAGGTCCTCTGTTTAATATTTCAACTTTCAGCATTTGATTCACTAAACGTGCAAATACAAATTTCACTATAAAGTGATTTTTGACAAACTGTTTGAATTAAAAAAACATATAAGTAGCACGCCCAAATTTTATGAGCTTATCCAACAAATGTTTTGTTTTCTGTAAATAAATAAATCCAAAGGTTTGATGAGCGCACTACCTGCAAACGTACACTCTAACAATGTCTAGGACTTGAGTATGGCATTGAACTTGAATTTTCCATGAGGTAAGTTCATTAAAATCAGTATTTTTTTTAGTAACGTCTTAAACAAACTTAAGATGTACAATAAGACAAAAAAAAAAGTTGACTCCTTGTATGTTTTTGGAATTCATGTAATTCTAGCCTCATTTTTCGAAGAAAAAAAAGATAATTCAAGTATCCGAGAAATGACACTATGCTCTACGACTGGCACACAATCTTCAACAAATAAACTCAGTGGAAATTTTTGGAAGAATACTTCTTCAGTTGACATCTCACTGATTGCAAATGGTTAAATTTAAGATAATCCAAATAGGACAAAAGAAATTACCCAAGACATATATTCATAAATCTTTGTGTGTCACTCGATAGAGGTGCACCACCACAAAGAACAAATCTAATGCGCCCACCAAGCATGGAACGTATTGGTTTAAAAATGAGGTTATCCCATATCATCCTCTCTGGTGCCCAGGATCCAAACCAACTTCCTTCAATAGCTCCAAGATTTCGTTTATAGGCAATGTCAAACAGCTTTTTGGTCAGACCACCCTTCTCACCAACCTGGAAACATAATTTAAATATTAAGTTTTGAGATGAGAAGTATGTTTAAACCATATTTTGGTGCATGATCATAAAATTTGACCGTTCAATTCTGCCTGCATGATACATGCCATTTGATGCAATGCATTTAAAATATTAAGTCTACAGAAACTCATTGTTTCAAACATGTTTCCAGCCTTCGGTTTCATCATCTGCTTGTTGGCTTATCAGCCACAACCAATTTGAATTTGAAACTTAATTTTAGAGTTGAATTTGGGGTTTTCTCATCATAGTCTATTCTCCAGCCTTGTACCTCCCATTTTTAATATATGATGCCGTTAACTTTTTGATAAACGTTTGATCATTCGTCCTATTCAAAATTTTAGAGCGAATATAAAAAAATTTAAGCCATGCTTAAAGAACATTTGACAATAAATCAAATCATAATAAAATAAATGATAATTACATATTTTTTAATAAGAAGAATGGTCAAATGTATCTCAAAATGTCAACAGCGCCATATGTTAAAAAACGGAGGGAGTATAACAGTTTAACCCAAAAATTATTTTCGGTTGCTTCATTTTCTATGGCTTATCAGCCTCAGCCGAAGCTCAGACTTGTATGCTAGACAAGACATGAAGCGTGCTACGGTATGGTAGGCATTATAATGGCTAGGGTTGGGAAATAAGAGATGCAGACCAGAGCAGTGCACCAAAACTGAAGGTTGTAGTGTTGTATGATACCAAAAACATGCATGTTATACTATGCTAGAAATGGCTGGGGCCTGCACTTGACTTTGCCCATTGAGCTAGCCAGAACATCAATTTTTTTTTTTAAGATATGCCTGGTGTAAGGTACAGAAAAATCTACAAGTTGCTAGGCTGCTAGATGTGCAAACGACAACCAAACAGTGCATCTATATCCTAATCTTAATTCCTTAAAAATACTGAATTGGGGGTGATAGTGTGCTCTTCTATACCCCACCAAGTTGTGTGGTCAGGTATAAGTGGTGACATATAAACTGTTTGCAGTATTTAGGTTTTAGCTGATCCCATATGGCATGTACATCCATTGAAATACGTGGGCACATTGCTAGCAGTAGCACTCCTTTAAAAATAAGGTTGTGGTGGTTGTGAATCCACCACTCACCAACTCTGCACTGCAATTTTTATGAATTGCTGCCTTCATTTCCTTACATTACAATACCTCAATATCCCATATGTTGTTTGTTCTTATTTGGCCTTCTAAAAATTAGAAGTTGACATGAAAATGTCCAAGATGGACCAATGTATATGTGGCATGTGCGAATACAGTCAAACATTACTAAAACGAAAAGGAAATTAAGTACATGGCCATACAGATAACGCTTAACATAAAACAATATTAGGACCTGTATGGTTCAAAACTTTTTTCTTTAGTTTATTCACAGGCAGATATTTAAACATATAAATGATTAATGCATCAAAGGCACTCTAAAGACATGTTGCAGCTGAATGCAAATGGCATATAAAAGATTGCAGAACTAGTCAAAGATGGAAAGATAATGGTGTAAACTACTGAGATAGATGGTATGAGAGGAGAATCTTGAACCTTTTTAAACACGGCATCTCTGATGCGGTCTAAAATTGCAGGGACTGAAATCATAAGAGTAGGCTTCAGTGCAGAAACATCTCCTTTTGTCCCCTTCTTTATTTTATTTGATGTATCTGTCATAGTCAGAGCTGAGCCATATCCAATGGCAGCACCAGAAGCTAACATGACAGTCTGGCCAAACAAAACAACAATATGTCATAGAAATATTCACAGTTCTTAATAATGGCATCTCTCTCAATTGCAAAAGATGTCACCTCTGCTGCTAGTTCAAAGACATGAGCCAGCGGAAGGTATGCCAGATAAACATCCCCTGTGCCAAGTTTTGGTATGATTGTCATGACAGCTGCAGTTGTGGCCACCATATTTCCATGTGTAATCATTACACCCTATGTCAAAGGAAACCATAAAACTGGATTAAAAGAGGACACAAGAACTGCAAACTCAAAAGTGGTTGACATTGTGATAAATGAAAGTACATAGCTGTGGATCCACAATGGATTGTAATTCAAGTTTGCACAAAAAAATATGCATTATGCTGATCATTTTGTCAAAAAGACGAACGTTGTCACACTCATGAACAGTTAATTCATATATTTTATCTATACCTGTTTTTCCTAATCCGAGGAATTTTGAGTTGTTTGTGCAAAATGATGTTCTCGTTATGAATTTCAAATTTGAGCCTTTTTCGCGTATCAAAATGCATATGGTTTCTGAATTTATTTTTTTTTTTCTCTGAATACTAGAGTCAACCTAGAGATCCAGTGGTTATAGAGGGTCTTAATTGTACATTGGAACAGTCCATGGATCTCTACATGATGGTGAGGAGTGGATGAAGCAGTGATGGATCAGTTTGGTTCATCCTGTTCCCATCCCTGCTATCCTTCCACAATAAGCAAAGTGGGTAATTGCACTTGCAAAAATACCAAGGAAAAACCAACTTTCCTTTGGGGAAGAGAGGAAAAGAGAGTATATATCAGGAAAGTGAATTTAATTTGTAGAAAGGATTTAATGTCCTGCTTTATTTCTCATTTGTAAATTAAATGGGCATAACTGCATATTATCATAACTCTCAATGTTGCCCTTAATTATGGAGAGCATCAGTTCAAAAGGAAGTTATGTGAGTACGTTGAGAATAGGCCCAAGAGATTATCATAATATCTGTCAAGCTAATGGGCTAATAGGATCGTAATTCTCTATATCATACATCACTTAAGCTCTTGTTCAGTGAAAGTAACAGGATGGTAGGCTCATCATGTGTGTACACCTTCAGATGAAGCAAAAAGAAAAGGAGGAACAAGAAAGAATGACCCCTGCTTTTGTCCTTATTTATTTTCATGAATAAAAATAGATAACAGCATATGACAGAAAAAATCAGAATATCTTTGAGCACAAGTGTACCTTGGGAAGACCCGTACTTCCACTTGTATACATAATAACTGCAGTATCAGTGCTTGAAGGTAATCTTGCATCTGTATGTGATGTTTTACCCAATTCTTCAACTTCACCAAAAGAAAATGTTGTCCAGTGCTTCATTTGATTGAGTACCTCAGCCTCAACAGGTTCATCCTCAATATAGATAACATGCTTAACACTCTGCAACTTGGAACTGATTGCAGGTAGCTTCTTAAGTTGCTTTGAATCACATATCAGAGTTGAAACCTGTGTCTGAAATTTATAACACACAAAAAAAATGAGTTTCCCATCTACTAATGGTTGCTGTCATTTAACTCTTCTAAAGTGTAACCATCTACTAACGGCAATTCAGCATGGACATGTGTCAAAATTCAAGAAGTTGAACTCTGCCTTTATAACTCTCTTACCAAAACAGGTGGATGCTTGTAGAGTTAAAGATTTTCGCTCCATAAGCCTCATTCACAGTTTTGCGATGTTGGTTTCAAAGATCTTGGCAAACCGTCTTGCTCCGCTGCTTCCTAGTATGGTTTCTATTAATCAAAGTGCTTTTATCAAAGGGAGAAGTATCCATGATAATTTCTTCCTTGTGCAGCAAATGGCCAAGTGTTTGCATGCAAGAAAAGAATCACATGTTCTGTTGAAGCTGGATATATCTAAGGCTTTTGACTCAGTTTCTTGGCCTTCTCTTTTGGAGGTTCTACAACAGTTGGATTTTGGTCGTTTTTGGTGCAACCTACTTTGTTTGCTGCTGTCTACCTCTTCTACTCGGGTTCTAATCAATGGGGAGCCTGAGGAGGTGATTCTGCACCGCCGCGGCCTTCGGCAAGGTGATCCATTGTCCCCGATGCTTTTTATTCTAGTCATGGATGTTCTCAGCTCACTAGTTGATTGGGTGGCCCAAGAAGGATGGTTGCAACCTCTTGCTTTTCGGCAAACGCAGCAGCGATGCTCCTTTTTTGCTGATAATGTGGTCTTGTTCTCTAGGCCAACAGCTGACGATCTCTCAGTTATCACACAGGTTCTTGATATTTTTGGTCATGCTTCAGGACTTGTGACTAACATGCAGAAAAGCTCGATAACTCCCATTAGGTGCAATGAGGATGAGTTGAAAGTGATTTCTAACATGCTGCCATGTGAGGTCAAGGATTTTCCTTGTTCATATTTGGGCTTGCCGCTGAACATTAAGAAGCCTTCTAAAGCCAAGTTGCAAGCTCCTGTTGATAAGGTAGCAGATTACCTCCCAATGTGGAAGGCCTCCCTCATGAACAAGGCCGGTCGACTCATCTTGGTGCGGGTGGTCCTCTCCGCCTGAGTTGGGCACTACGTATCCGTTGGTTATGGCTCCAGAAGACAGATAGTGACCGTGCGTGGCAAGGCCTACCCATCCAGGTTCCTCGCATGTCTCATAATCTCTTCAGTGTGGCTGTTGAATCACGAGTTGGGAATGGGCAGTCTACTTTGTTTTGGACTGATAGGTGGTTACTAGGAAGGAATATCTTAAAAATGGCCCCTAATCTGTGTATGTTGGTCGCTAAGAGGGTGGTTAAACGTTGTACAGTGGCTCACGCTCTCAATAACGGGAAATGGATCACGGACATAAAAGGGCCCTTGACTGTGCAAGTGATTAATGAGTATCTCCAGATATGGGACTCAGTTTTTGGTATAGGGCTGCAAGAAGGCGTCCCGGATCAGCATGTTTGGAAACTAACAGACTCAGGGTCCTACACTTCCAAGTCTGCCTACAGGGCCTTCTTTGTTGGGACTGTCCGTTTTGCTCCTTGGAAAAGGATTTGGAATAGTTGGGCTCCTCTTAAGTGTAAGTTTTTTGTGTGGTTGGCCATTTACAACAGATGTTGGACGGCGGATCGACTTGCAAAGCGAGGCTTGCCTCACCGGGACGCTTGTCCGCTTTATGATCAGGCCGACGAGACGATACAGCACATCTTGGTTTCCTGTGTGTTCAGTCGACAAGTTTGGTCCTTGGTCCTGCAAAGGCTTGGTTTCTCCTCCACACTTCCGAATCAGGATACACGTAAGTTTTCGAGTTGGTGGTCAAGGACAGTGAAAGGCTTACAGAAGAATGAGAAGAAGGGGCTCAATTCGCTAGTCATCTTAGCCATCTGGGAAATTTGGAAACATATAAATGATTGTGTTTTCAATAGAGCTACGCATAGTGTGCCTGTGGCAATCCAAGCCATAGCTAATGAGGGTGCACTTTGGTGTTTTGTGGGAGCATCAAAACTCCAAGAGCTATTTGCGAAAGCAATAGCTCCTGTACCATAGGAGGTCGAAGCGCGTGCTTGATGTTTTGTGTGTTTTTGTGAGGTGTTATTGTTTTGTATAACCTTGGTAGGTGGGTGCTGAGGTTTGCTAAATCCTTCACCGCTTGCCTCTTTATTCTTGCTTAATGAAATGATACGCAGATCCCATGCGTATTCGGAAAAAAAAAATCTTCTCATAGAGTTTTTTAAGCCTTGGGAAACAATTTGCATGGTTATTGCTTGAATGTTCATACTGGTAAAGATTTCTCTCAAGAACAACCAACTAATGAAGATAGTTTAGGCAAGACAGGTAATAAACTGATTAAACAATGTAAACCAAACAGACAAAAATAGTATCATATCAACAACATGAACTACCATACAAGCTTCGGTATTACATTTCATCCACCAAACAGTTCGCCCAAAATCTTAAAAGTTGCTGACATATAAGGATGACCCATACTTCAATAAAATGTGTAAAATTACCCATATATAAAGAAAAAAAAGAAACGGTAGGAATGTACTAGTTTCCCAAGTGGATAATTATAAGAATGAACATAAATACTGCACAAAAAAGCCACATATGGGTTGTACCTCATTCAGTGAATGCACCAGTGCATCCTCGCCAAGAGATGCATAGATAGTTACAACTGTTAGATTTTGTCGAAAGCATCCCTGACAAAATAAAACAATTATTGTCATACAGGTTCATAGGTTCTCACAAATGTATACAGAAAGCCACACTATTTATTATAATCACCTGAGCAGCAATGATCCACTCAGTTCTTGTATCAGCAAATATTGCAGCACGACTATCTCGTTGGTGACCCAACTTGATGAGACCAGAAGAAAAATTACATGCACGACTAAATGCTTCTGCGTAGGTATCCCATTCATATTCACCTAAATGCAATTTCTCGAACTTCCTGCCATCAGGTGACTCCACAAATTCTCTATTGATTAGCTTCCTTGTGCCAAGACACCTGTGTCGAGGGTATTTTTTGCTAGCCATCTCAAATAAAGCTGCCATTGTGGTGGCACCCTCCCATGGAACTTCAACTAACATGGAAAATCTACTGTTTCGCATGGCAAGTCCTGCCTCACCACCCACATCAGCTTGTACTGCTCTTTTCTTTCCCTTTTTGTTGAATATGGAAGAAAGCATGATAGGAATAACTACAGCAAGTAGAATGGCACCAATAATTCCAGGCAGACCATACTCTTTCACCAGTGGAACATCACTTGTGGCAATTCTTTGAAGAATTGACATGTTTGGATTATCGCCAGTATTTTCTCCCATGATTTTAAGATTTCATCAACTGAAAGATTTCACAAATTTCGCTACAAGAAAGTATAAAGTGTTAATAACCGTCATGTTAGTATGTTGCAAATAAGTAATAACTAATTTCTTCTCAATTTTATAAATAATTGCCTTGAACAGAAGAAATGAGTATAACTAGATTAGTGCAGCATGGAGAATGCTTTCGCACTACAGTAGCATTCTATTTAACATTATGAATCATGGAAAAATGAAAAATACTAGCAATGAACAATATTTAGAAGCACTGGTACTCTTCTTCCAACTAACAAAATTAAAAATGATCGTATGGTATAAACAGATTCAGCAGCTATTAGACAGCCTTGTTATGCAGAGCAAAAAACTGTAAAGTGCAGTAAAACAGTAAATACTTGGTAGTTTTAATCTCTTTGAGTAAATAACATATCCGCATCTCCAGTGAATGTTAAATGGTATTGCTCAGAGCACCGCACAAATTATTTTATGATGACAACAAAATTCCCAAAGGTCAACTTAAGTTGCTAAAAAGTACAATAATGAAATTGCTTGTGAATCCTGCAGTTGCCTACTTCTACAGTGAGAACGACTCAACATTACAAGCTGACTCGTGGAAGCAACAGCACTATCACAACAGGTTAGCAGTCAAGATGATATGTAAGATTCAGCACGAAGCAACGAAGTTGACAGAAATATTTTGTAAGTGGAGTAAGTAGATTAGCAGGAATCTTATGACAAGTTGAAGACTTGTAGAGAAGATAATTCAATAAAATATAGCATCCATCTCTGGTTTGCTCAAAGGGCCAATATCTTATGGCAAGGTCCTTCGAAGTTGCAAGCAATTACAAAGGGACACGGATTTACATTTGAAGAAAAAAAAAAGATAACATGATCTCACCTAAGAAACAAGGAGTAAAGTAAACAACCACTTTGTGCAAATTAGCAGCGGTAGGAGAGGAATAATTGAGGCTTGAGGAAGAACCATTGAATAGGGACATTAATTAAACGGTTAAAGTTATAATTATTCCTTACTCTGTACAGCAGCATAGTCTGTGCGTGGGATCAAAGGAAATCAGGGGCGGATCAAACTTGGGACATGGGGGCTCAAACTTTTGGGGGAGCAAACAAATTAAGAAAGATCTAGAATAGAAGCTAGGGTTAACGCGAGCAAATTCCAGGCAAAAGTACTCCCGGTGGGAGAGAGAGATGAATCAGAAAGAGGATGTGGATGCTCACCCCGATCCCCTCCCCTCCCCTCCCCTGCTCTGCTCGCCAGATGGAGATCGGCGCACCTCCCCTCCGTTGCTCTGCTCGCCAGATGGAGATCGGCGTCCGGCGTCCCCTCCCCTGTTCACCCGCGACTCGTCTTGGCGCAAGGAGCGGAGACGACGAGACGAGAGATTTCTGTTTCTTTTACGCCAAGGGAAGGAAGTGGAAGATGCTCGAGTGCTCCACCTTTTGTATAAAAAGCTTTCAGGCCGCGTTCGGCAGTTAGCTTTCCCATCTTATAATACGCATTTCAAATTGCTAGATGGGGTTGTTTTTATAATTTTATATAAAAATATTGTTTTAAAAAATAATATTAATATATTTCTTGAGTTAGTTTTTTAATACTTAATTAATCATACGCTAATGAGCTGCTCCGTTTTTCCAAAGAGAAAGGTTTCCAACTCAGGGCACCGAACGCAGGCTGCGAACATGGAAAACGGTATTGCCCATGAGTGTTTGATTAATTAAGTATTAGCTTAAAATATTTAAATAATAGATTAATATGATTTTTCTAAAGCAACTTTTCTATAAAAATTTTTTTTCAAAAAAACACATCGTTTAGCAGTTTCAGGAGCACACGCGTGAAAAACGAGAGGTAAAGTTGGAAAAGAACACAGCCTGTTGGGCACCCACCCTTGCTAGCATTTGGTGCGGATAAGTCCACTTTGACTCCCTCAACTATAGCTCTACTATGATTCATATCCCTGAATCGTAATACCAGGTATCTCACCCCCCCTCAACTATAAAAACTGGTGCAATTTAACTTCCTCGTTTTAGTGGGTGTTTTCGCTGACGTTGCACTTTGACTTGTTCCAATCCGCTGAGTCACCTAGTGGGACCCGTATGTCAGTGCCACATACTCTCTTCTCTTCCTTCCCTTTCCCTCCTCACTTTCCTCTCTCATGGAAATAACAACATACGATGGTGATTAGGGGAGGTCATCGTTGTGTCGCCAACCCCTCTTTCCCCTTCCTCTCGTCTCCGTCGGGGAGGACGAAGCACGAGCGAGAATGACAGCGGCAGTGAGAGGGGAGGCTGTCGTCGTGCCGCCGTCTCTCCCGTCACCATCTCCGCCTCCCCTCTGCTGCCCTTTCCACTCGCCGTCGTCGAGGAGCGGAAAGCACGAGCGAGGATGACAACGATGGTGAGAGGGGAGGTCATCATTGCATCGTTGTCCCTCCTGCCACCGCCTCCGCTGCTCCCTTTCGTTCACCGCCATCGGGGAGGAGGAAGCACGAGCGAGGATGGTGGCGGTGGTGAGAGGGGAGGTCATCATCACGTCGCCGTCCCTCCCACCCATAACCTTGCATGGGGAAAGCCGCCGCACTTACTCTGCCAACAACGCGTCATCATCGCTCTGACGGCCACCACGCTCTGTCTCATCTAGCCGATTCCGCTGAGGGAAGAGAAGACCGGAGTGGCACGACACGCCGTCGTCACCTCGATGGCCACCCCGGTATGTCTCGTCCTACACCGCTCATCCCTTCCGCCACCGCCTCTTCCTCACCTTTGTTGTCGCCAACATGTCTGATTTCGCCGAGAGAAGAGAAGACTGGAGTGGTGTGGCGCCTCTGCCCTGCCTTCCTGCCAGCAATGATGAGAGGGAAAAGATAAACGTCATTGATAGGTGGGTCCCACAAGGTGACATAGCAGGTTAGACCAAATCAAAGTGCCACATCAGCAAAACAGTCCTTCAAAACCGTCTGAGGGAGTTAATAGTCGAGATATCCGATATTGCAGTTCATGGATATGAATTAGATTTAACCACTAAGGAGTCAAAGTGGACTTATTCCCATTGGTGCTCGACTCACTAAGGCCTGCGTGACTGCACAATTAAGAATGTAGCCCAGTTACTCCTCCCCCACTGCTCCATCCATTTCAAATTACTTAGGTCCCGTTCGTGTCCACTAGAAATAGTTGATAAAATTTTGAATATTTGTGGCACGCTTTTCAAACGGCTAAACGGTATGTTTCGTGCGGAAACTTTTTCTATATGAAAGTTGCTCTAAATATCAAATTAATCTATTTTTCAAGTTTGTAATAATTAAAACTCAATTAATCATACGTTAATATCACCTTGTTTTACGTAAAACACTTAATCTTAATCTTAATCTTAATCTTTATCTTTAGGAAAAAAGAATTATTCTAATCAAACATTTTAATCTTTAACCGTTAATTTCTATATATAAAAATTTTAACATCATAAGAATTACACTTTTGACACTATGAGAAATATTTTTATAATTAACAATTCATATGTGGTTAAACTGAACATAATTCTAAAAACTAATGTTAAACATAGGGATGTTTCACTTAGGACAAAGCCTATAACTTTAAGTAATTTGAAATTGGGAAAGTAGTTATTAGTAGTATCAATAGTAAACCAACATGCATATTAGCGATCACCAGACCCGTTCCTTTTACACCCGCAACAGTAGAGGCGTGAGAAGATATAAAACACATGTGTCCTTCCTTTTACAAAAACATAGACAATGTACTTCCTCCGTCCCAATATATAACAACTTAGGATGGGATTAGACCAATCCTAGAACTACGGATCTCACTACTACAAAAGTGATTTTTCTGTACGAGAGCCCATGAATTTTGCAAACGGACCATTACTAGTGGCGTCTGCAAAAATCGAGGGTCATTGTCCCATACGGCTCCTTAAGTGGCCCGTATGGAAAAATCGATTTTCCCCTACGGGCCTCTTAAGATGGCCGTATGCAAAAATGAGTTTATTTTTGCATGTGGCTGTTTGACGACCAAATTTGGTAAATTATGAACCACGTTCGACATTGAGATCGAGGCGGATTCAACAAAGAGGTTGATTCGAAGAACAGAGTATGCATCGGCTAGAATCTGCATTGGCTGAGATGGATCGGACAGAGGACAGCCGATACAGCCGATAGAGGTGATGCAGCCGATTTCGATGATGACAGTTTCGAAGATGTTTCTAGAATCAATCAAGGTGCTTCATGAAGATTGCTGTGATGGAGATAGGGCTCTTGGATAGGCAATTGTATCTATTAATTAGGATATTTTATGTAATTTCTTTAGAGATATGTTTGGGCAAAAGTCTGCTGCAAAGACTTATGGTATCTTAAAGTTTATTAGAGGTAAATGTCGTGTCCGGCAAGGACATATCTTGTATCTCGGGTATAAATAGAACCCGAACCCATGTAATCAATTAACAATTGTTCAATATAATCTCGGCGCATTGCCATTGTCAGGGTTACGGGTTAGGTATACCCTTTACCCTTCGATATACGTCGCATATCGGTATGGCATACCCACGCGCATACAGATACCCTCCGCATGCATTAAGGAAATCCTTCACGGAGTTTACGGATGGAAAGAGTCCTACTCGAACCAGACTGGGTCGTCAACGTATCGTGTGAGGTTTGATGTCTCTGAGTTCTACTTGGAAACCGCCTGACCTGCGATATAAAAGGGACCCCCCGGGGAGGACCTAAGGCATCGAATCTCAGAGCCAACACAACCCCCACAGCCTACGAAGTCGGAGCCTGCAGGAGCCAAATCGCTGGGGATCTAGTCGAACCAACTTGACTACGATCTCGCCAGATCCATCGAGTTCCATTGTTCCCTTTGTAACCTGTGTTTTCCATCATATAATCCCACATCAACTGGATTAGGGCTATTACCTATCAAGGGGCCTGAACCAGTATAATCTTCGTCTTTTGTCTGCTTGATGTCGTACTACATAGACCCTTGTACCAACGTACCCCAATACCTTCTATATCCGGTCTACGGGTATCACCCGTCGACAGTGGCGCGCCAGGCAGGAGGACTTGGTGCTCAAGGTTCTACTACTATGTCATCCAGCTTCGTCGACAACAGCGTCAACACCAACTCAACCAAGTATTTCCTGCTTCAACAATGCTGGTGTGGACTCAAGTCGGCGAAATCGTCTTCCCGGTTTACACCACGATGCCGATCTCAGCCGGTCCATCAATGACCAGAAACGAGAACGCAGTGGCTACAAACCAAGACGACTCCATGTCAAAAGATCCTCCCGCCGAGGCGGAGAACGGAACCTCGACGACATCCGAGCTCGAGAAGGATTCTAATGCGGCCAAACCTTGTCATTCCGACAAGAACCACGAGCCGACGAGGATGACTTCTGAAGCGACAAGGTCCTGGTGTCCTATCCACAAAACCAGGAAACACACTTTGCAAGCCTGCTGGGTTTTTCTCAACGTCCGCGCTGAAATTCGCGCCTGCAAAGAGCGTGGAATTCAGCGTATTTCTCCAACTCGTGATGTCTATTGTCCTATTCACAAGACAAAGAATCATGACCTCTCAAGCTGCAAGGTCTTTCTCAGCGCCATGAAGGCGCCATCTCCTAAGGTCCAACAGTCACACGTCCCCATCAGGGATAAAGACAAGGAACGAGGAGCGACGCCAACTTCAGATCAATTTGTTGGGGTAATCGACATCGATCCCCACGAACCGTCAGTCTTGCACCTCCTCGAAGACTATGGATCATCGACAACGAGCGCGCCGCGGGAGGTATTGGCTATCGATGATGTCGGCACGTCAGCGCGCACCAATGCAGAAGCAGAGAATCAAATCGCCACTCCGGCCCAGCACATCAGAGCCGTCAACGCTATACTGAGGGAAACCCCCTACGATCCCGTTCTGAACGACGATCTCACGCATTGGACAGAACGACTATGGGAATAAGTGACCAACCATAGTAACGCGTTCGAAGAGGCCGCTGCCGCAGCGCACCCGGAGCAGCCACCAACTAGCGATGCCAATGGTGAAAACCCTGAACAGAGGGAATCGCCTCATCGAGCCACCCCTCCACCTCGCGGCACTGGCGATCTCCGAGATCACCTCAACGGCCGCCGAGAGGCACGACGCACACGAGACAACGAGAACCGTTCCCGGCGTCATGTCTCTTCACGGCGCCATGATAACGAAGATCGAGGAGACCGTTCAAACGAAGACCAAGACCGTGATAACCGCCACGATCACAACGATCGCGAACGGCGGGTGCCAAGCGATACTGGTCGAGGACGTTGCCATAATGACGACGATGATGGAGACCGGCGCCGAGACAACAGCGGGAGACGACGACAGGATTCTCGAGAGCCAGGCCAACATCCTCGTAATCATACGCCGGAACCAAGCGACCCATCGTC